GCTTTGAGATCCGTGTGGAGCACAATTCTGCTCTGAACACCTGCATCACCAGGAGCCAGAACTGACTTGGTGGCTAGGGTTTGGAATTTTTGTTTGTGTGAGCAATCGGCCTCCTCTTAGTGAAATGTACAGAATCTCATTCCATATCCCTAAGGTTTCCATCACGTCGCCCCCATCCCAACCAAAGCTTGAGAGTGGTGTGGCCCAGCGTAGGGGTTCCTGGGAGGGAGAGACTGTTATCTTTGGGGATGGGGCTCCATGCTGTCTTCTCCTCAGAACTCGTCTTGAAGGAATGGACTGTGAGATGGGAGTCAGGAATGTCTTGCTGAAATGGACCCTCCATGTGGTTGAGGGTGGGTGAAGGCTGGGCTGGAGTTAGGGCTGCGAGTCCAGCCAGCTCTGTAGACACCAGAGTTAAGCTCACAGTGTGCCCCAGGTAGTTCCCTTTACAAGGTGTTTGTTTGCCAGGACCTGTGGTAAATCCTTGGTTGCCAGGGAACTGAAGAATGGGGCACAGGAGGGGAAGCCTCAGGTCTGACCTTGAAGGTTAGGGGCTGGGGCCCTCCTCCCAGCTTTAATCTTGTTCCAGGGAGGGTATGCTAGCTGCCTTGTAATTCAGACAGCATTTCCAATCTCTGTGCCTCGGTTTCCTACACCTGAGATAGTAATTTCTCCGACCAGATTGTGAAGTTCAAGTGCCTGCTGCACATGAAGCCTTCCTTAAACTTTGAGGTTAATATTGGTTTCCTAAGCACTGGACCGCAAGGTCAGTTTGAACTGCAAGGTTGGCAGTTCAGACCACCAGCCACACCTCAGAAGCCCGATACAAGGTCACTGTGAGTTGGACCTGACTCTACAACACTTCACAATAACAACAAGAACTGCTGAAACAAGTCACTATAAATGAAGTGGCATAAAACCAAACAAACAAATTCTCTTATTGTTCTGAAAAGGAGCCCTGGTTACACAATGGTTGGCACTCAGCTGCTAGCCAAAAGGTCCAAGGTTTGACCCCACCTCCCCTCTGCCGCTCTGGGAGAGAAAAGGCCTGACCGTCTGCTGTTGTAAGGAATATAGCCTAGAAAACCCATTGGGACAAGCCTTCTCTATCCTGTAGGGTCACTATGAGTCGGAACTGACTCAGCAGCACACAGCAACAGCTCTGGAGGTCAGAAGTCTAAAGTGGGTCAGCAGGGCTGCCTTCCTTCTAGATGGTTCTGGGAGAATCTGCTTCTTTGCCTATTTTTTTAGCCCCTAGAGGCCACCTGCATTCCTTGACTTATTACCTCATCCTTCAAACTTGTAGCTAGTATCTTCAAATCTCTCTACTTGTCTTCACATCACTTTTTCTCCCCCTCTGATCCCGTGCCTCCCTCCTTTAAGGGCCCTGTGATTATATAGGGTCCACCTAGATACTCTGCTTGTCTCAGAATCCTTAATCACATCTGAAATTCCCTTTGCCATCTAAGGTCATGTCACATATTCACAGGTTTCAGGGATTAGGATGTGGATATCTTTGTGGACCATTATTCTGTGTGCCACAGGATCAGATAGCGTCTCAGAGACTTTGGGGGCAGCAGCCCCCCAGCACAGACCTGCTTATTAACTTGCTGATAGGGGAGGCAAAGGATTAAATCCCTGGTGTGGAGAAAGTGTGGGAAAGCCTGTGAGAATGTGCTGGGGAAGGTGGTCCAGCAGGGGGACAGCAGCTATGCTTGACATTTACATGGGTTTTGATGATTTCCTCATATACTGTCTTGGTCTTTATTAAGGATGCCCAGTGCCCAGAAGGGGATCTATTTGAGATGTCAGATAAACACTAATCCTGATGGTGAGGAGCATGAAGTGAGGAAATCATTAGTTTGGTGTAAAAGCGTGGAATTTGGAGTGAGGGGAGCTGTGGTAGAATCCAGCACTCTCACTGGCTGCATTCTCATCACTGTTTTCCTTTGTATAATGGGTTAATATAGTTACGATACTCAGTGGGGTATTGAGCTCTGGATGAGGAAGTGGGATGACTGTTGTTGTTAATTATTGTTGTTAACTGATTCTAACTCCTGGCAGCCCCTGTATGTATCACATCCTACCTGCTCTATAGGGTTTTCTGGCTGCCATTTTAATGGAAGCAAATTCCAAGGCCATATCTTCTGTGCCACTATTGGGTGGGTTTGAACTGCCAACCTTTAGGTTAGCAGTTGAGTGCAAACCATTTGCCTACCTTAGGACCTCGAAAGGGTTTATGTTGTTGTTAAGTGCTGTCAAGTCAATTCCAACTAATACTGCCTCTGTATAGGGTTTCCTAGGAGCGGCTGGTGGATTTGAACTCCCAACCTTGTGGATAGTAGCCCAGTGCTTATCTGATAGTGCCACACTATAGGACTCTAAAAAGGCATATAGTAAATGTTGGGTGCCACTACATACTACGTGGTGTTGGACTTCAGGTACGCAGGTGATTCGAAAGTCACCATGCCAAGTAATGATATAGGTGACACTTATAAGGTGCTGAGGGTCAGTGTCACCCACTCTTGACAGGAGAGCCCATGGTCCAGGCCAGGGTGATCCAAGGAGACTTGATGAGGAGACCAGACTTCTACTGTGTCTTCCAGGGGGGTTAGGATTTGGACAAGAAAAACCAGGATGGGAGAGGGCATGTTAACTGAAATAGCCAGAGCCAAGGTTCAGAGGCCAGAACACTCAGAGGTTGGGTAGCTGTAGGGGAGATTGGAAGGGCAGGGACAGGCCCAAGGGGCCCCTGAAGGTTCTCACCTAAAGGATATGCTGGGCCCATAGTTTAGTGGTAGAATCCTCACCCTCCGTGTGGGAACCCCGGCTTCTATCCTCAGCCAAATGCACCTTGTGCACTGCTACCTACCAGCCATCTGTCAGTGGAGGCTTATGTGTTGCTAGAAGATAGTGAACAGACTAGGAAGAAAGGCCTAAGGATCTGCTCCCCTAAAACAGCCAATGAAAGCCTTGTGGATCACAACGATCCAATCAGCAATTGATCTTGGTTATGTGCAGGATTGATGAACATTTCATTCCATTAAACATGGGGTTGTCATGAGTCAGATGCCAATTTGAGGACAGCTGGACTATAAAGTCGATTTGATCTGCAAGGTTGGTGGTTCAAACTCACAAGCTGCTTCTTAGAAACCCTATATGGGGTCGCTATGGATTGGAACCAACTCGACGGCACTTAACAACAACAACACACTTTATGGAGTCCTGGTGTGGCGTTGTGGGATAATGCACTTAACCACAAGGTCAGCGGCGATTCAAACTCATCAGCTGTTCATCAGAAGCCCTATTCTGAATCGCTATGAGTCAGCACTTAACAATAACAACAACATACTTTATAGTCCTGCGTGTGGAGTCCTAGTGTGGTATGTAGGTTAAGCACTGGACTGCTAATTGTGAGGTTGGTGATGTGAACCCACCTCCTCAGAACCCCTATAGGGGACGTCACTTGACAACAACAACATAGTCCTGTGTTTACTTTTTTCCTTATTTAATTTATTTCTCTCCGTCTCAATGATAAGCCACATGAGAGCAGAAACTATGGTCTGCTTGTTTCTCATTATATCTACAGGGTCCGGCAGGCATTTAGTAAATATTTGTTGAGTGAATAAAGAAATGAATGAACCACCTAACTGAATCCCTGAATGATGATATTTTACAGTATTAGCCAAGTGTAAGGTGTAAGGCGGCTGGCTTTCTCAGAGGAGTGGGCTGGCTCTGGTATGTTGCCAGAGGCAAGTGCATGAGAGATTGTCCTTTGTGAATTGGGGTGCACAGCAGAGTGGAAGGGTGGAACAGAAGGGAAGAGCTGTATAAAAGATTCTCAAGGAAGCATTCAAGGACTTGGGGATAAATGGTATTGAGCATTTTCTCTGTGCCAAGGAGTCCTGGTGGCATAGTGGGTGAAGTGTTGGCCTGTTAACCTCAAGGCCAACAATTCAAATCCACCAGCCACTCCTTGGGAGGAAGAGGAGGCTTTCTGCTCCCATAAAGATTTACAACCTAGGAAGCCTTACACAGGGTCACTGTGAGTTGGAACCAGCTCGATGACAGCGGTATGGTTTGGTTTGGATTCTCTGTGTCAGGTGTCGTGTTAACTGAAGGGCATTTAAGTCTTTTAATAGGGTGTGGTCCTTGCTCTGGAGGAAGCAGCAGATACTTTGCATCTGTTCCTTCCACAGCGAGGTGGTCAGGAAATATTGAGGTGCAGAGCAGTGTGGGTAAGGCTGAGGGACCCACAGCCAGCACTTTCTGGTGTGGGAATGAGCCTCCAGGGACAGGGCGATATAGTCAGAAGTCTAGCTGGAAGCTCCCAGACCCATGTCTGTCCCTATTCTTTCCACCCCTACTCCTCTCAGCATGCTCATCGCCTCCTCAGGAGTCTCCTGTGTTCCCAAGCTTAGCTTCTGGCCCCTGCTCCTTCCTCCCTTATGACCGTGCCCTCCCTCTGGATGGGAATCTTATTTAATCTTCTTAACTGTCTGTCACTTTAAGTACTTGCCACTGAGTACAACTCATAGTGTCCACATATGTGTCAGAGTAGAACTTTATCCCATTGCTGATTTTTTCGAAAGTAGAGGTGCCTCTGGGTTGACTTGAACCTCTACAGTTTTGGTTAACTGTTTGTACCCTCCATCGACTTAACTGTCTCTAAATCCACCATTATACTGCCCACCAGACATGAAGGCAGGTCCTGTATTATCTTGCTCTGATGTGAGGTTTGGTAAGTTGATGGATGGATGGATATGAAGTGAGAATTTTTTTTTTAAAAAATGGGAAAACAAAAAAGCAAGATGTAAACAGTGGAGTGTGAGTGATTATTTTCCCTTTGATATTTCTATTTCCCAAATTTTTATAATGAGTATATCTTGCTTTTATTCCCTCTGAAAGTGTTAGTTACAAGAAGAAAGGAAATGCAAGAAAAGACACCACTCAGAATTTTGTGTTCTTTTCTCATGAGCTTTTGGTTTGCTTGGCTGCAGGTGGAAGCAGGAAAAGGCCTGGAGATGCGGAAGCTGGTTCTCTCAGGGTTCCTGGCCAGTGAAGAGATCTACATTAACCAGCTGGAAGCCCTGTTGCTGGTGAGTATCTGTTGGCTCTGGGACCCTCCGGTATACCTGTTGGACAGAGTTACTCTTTAATACGGATTTTGGAATTGAAGAGGAAGGGGGCCTTTTTTTGAGTCTGCGGTGCTGTTTTGCTTATAGCTTGGCCTCAGGCAGCTGGGATCATTGCCAGAAAGGGTCTGTGTTGTGTCTCTAATTCCCCAGCTTTGAGAAGGGACAGGATCAGTCAGGGTAGGAGAGGCAAGCACAGGGCAGCACTACCATTCCTGCTGCCCATGTCCATGGTGTGTAACTATTACTAATCAGTTATGGTACTCTAAGGCCAGATGGGGCCCTAGCCTTCTTTTTTCCACTGTGCCTTGAGACTTTGTGTTAGGAAACGCAAGGTGAATGGCTGGCTGTGTCGTTGTGAGAAGTACTTTAGTTCTGAGCCATTAGATAAACCTTAGCCTTCTACAGAGGTTACTCAATTTCTTCATCCATGAGATGGGGTGAAAATACCTGTTCCATGTATTGGGAGGTGAATATTAAAATGTTTTCAAAAAGGTGAAAGTACTACACAAATGGAAGATGTTTTTGTCTCTGAAGAAAGTGCTTATGAGATGCGTCTGGATATTATGCAGAGTGATCGAGACATAGAAGTTCTTTCCCTTTGGGTGTTTTGCAGTCTGAGACATAAGGTGATAGCAGAAGGAGGAATAAGAAATGTGGGCATAGATCAGTAGAAACTCCTTCTTACCTAAGAGCTGAAAGTTAAGATGCACATTTATGTACTTGGGGTGTGAAATGGAGCCACTGAATATCCCAGGGGGACTTGGCATTTAGTACCCAAAGAATCACTGTATCAAAAGGGTTGAACACTTTGGAACAGACAGGACCGAGTTTGTGTTAGATTGTCATAGAACTTTATTGATATACACAGCACGTTTTCCAAAAGAGGGCAGTGTAGCAGGTAGACCAGAGACCAGAACTGAGGTAAAACGGTTCACCAGCATACCTAACATAGTGAGAATAAGTACTGTTTCATGGAACTTGTGTGTTGTTTATCATCCTAAGATGGTTTGTGTGTTGTTGTGATTCTAGATGCTATGTTACCAGTATTTCAAATACCATCAGGGTCACCCCTTGCAGACAGATTTCAGTGGAACTTCCAGACTAAGACAGACTTGGAAGAAGGAGCTGGCGATCTACTTCTGAAAAAAATGGCCATTGAAAACCTTATGAATAGTAGCGGAACATTGTCTGTTAGAATGCCAAAAGATAAGCCCGTCAGGTTGGAGGGCACTCAAAATACAACTGGGAAATTGCTGCCTCCTCAAAGTAGAGCCAACCTGAATGGAGTAAAGCTTTTGGGATCTTTATTTGCTGATGAGGTATGACTCAAAATGAAAAGAAACTTCTGTAAACATCCATTAATAATCAGAACATGGAAAGTACAAAGTATGAATCTAGGAAAATTGGAAGTTGTCAGAAATTAAATGGAACACATAAAAGTCGATACTCTAGGCATTAATGTTGTAGTTTTATTATGCTGACTTGGCTCTGATTCATACAATAGAACAAAACAATGCTAATTCCTGTGCCATCTTCACATTAGTGAGTTGAAATAGACTGGTATTGGTCATTTTGAATCAGTTAGTTATATTGTCTACTATGCCAGGAATGACAAATTGAAGAGCAATGGTGTCACGTTCATGGTCAAAAAGAACACTTCAATATCTATCCTGAAGTACGGTGCTATCAGTGATGGGATAATATCCATATACCTACAAAAGACCAGCTAATATGACTGTTAATCAAATTTATGCACTAGCCACTATTGCCAAAGATGAAGAAATTGAAGATCTTTACCAACATCTGTGGAATAAAATTGATCAAGCATGCAATCAAAATGCATTGATAATTACTAGTGATTGGAATATGAAAGTTGGAAACAAAGAAGGCTCAGGAGTTGGAAAATATGGCCTTGATGATAGAAATGACACCAGAGATTGCATGATAGAATTTTGCAAGACCTACAAATTGTTTATTGCAAATACTGTTTTTCAGCAACATAAACAGCGACTATACACATGGACCTGGCCAAATGTAATACACAGGCATCAAGTTGACGACATCTGTAGGAAGGGATGATGAAACTCAATATCATCAACCAAAACAAGGCCAGGGGCTGACTGTGAAACAGACTAATTGCTTATATGCAAGTTCAGGTTGAAACAGAAGAAAGTTAAAACAAGTCCTCAAGAACCAAAGTACAATTTTGAGTATATCTCACCTGAATTTAGAGAACATTTCTAGAACAGATTTGATGTATTAAGCACTAATGAATGAAGACCAGAAGAGTTGTGGGATGACATCAAGAACATCATACATGAAGAAAACAAAAAGTTATTGGAAAACAAAATGAATGTAACAAGAGACTGAAACTTGCTCTTGAACATAGATACACTAAAGTAACTGGAAGAAATGATGAAGTAAAATAGCTGAACAGAAAATTTCAAAGAGTAGCTTGAAAAGACAAAGTAAAGTATTATAATGATTTGTACAAAGACCTAGAGTTAGAAAACCAAAAGGGAATAACATGCTCAGCATTTCTAAAACTGAAAAAACTTGAAGAAAATTTTCAAGCCTTGACTTGCAATATTGAAAGATTCTTTGGGCAAAATATTGAAAATATCAGGAAGCATCAAAAGAAGACAGGAGAAATACACAAAAGTTACTATACCAAAAGAACTGGTTGACATTCAGCCATTAGAGGAGGTAGCTATAATCAAGAACTGATGATATCGAAGTACCAAAGGAAAAAGTCTAAGCTTCATTGAAGAAGGCACTGGTGAAAAACAAGGCTTTAGGTATTTATGGAATATAAACTGAGATCTTTCAACAAAGGAATACAAGGTTAGAAGTACTCACTCTGCTATGCCAAGAAATTTGGAAGACAGTTACCTGGCTAATAGAATGGAAGAGATCCTTATTTGTGCCCATTTCAAAGTAAGATGATCCAATGTGGAAATTATTGAACAATATCATTAATATCACACACAAATAAAAGTTTGCTAAAGGTAATAAATGGTTACAGCAGTATATCAACGAACAACTGCCAGAAATTCAAGCTGAGTTCAGAGGAGGATGTGCAATGAAGAGAATATCATTGCTGAAATCAGATGGATCTTGCCTGAAATAAGAGAATACCAGAAAGATGTTTAACTGTGTTTTAGTTATTGACTATACAAAGGCATTTGACAATACTTTGTGTGGATCATCACAAATAATGGATAATATTATGAAGAATGGGTATTCCAGAATACTTAATTTGTGTTCATAATGAAACCTATGCATAGACCAAGAAGCAGTCATTCAAACAGGTAAAGAGGATACTGCATTGTTTAAAGTCAGGTAAAGTATGCATCAAGGTTATATCCTTTCACCATACTTATTCAACCTATGTGCTGAGCAAATGATACAAGAAGCTGAACTATATAAAGAAAAATGCAGCATAAAGATTGGAAGAGGACTCATTAACAACCTGTGATGTGCAGATGACACAAGCTTTTTTGCTGAAAAGTGAAGAGGACTTGTAGCACATATTAATGAAGATCAAAAAGTACAGCCTTCAGTATAGATTACACCTCAATATAAAGAAAACAAAAATCCTCACAATCGGGCCAAAAAAAAAAAAAAAATAGGCAGCCTTATAATAAATGGAGGAAAGATTGAAGTTGTTAGGGATTTTATTTTTCTTGGATCCACAATCAGTGTTCATGGAAATAATAGTCAAGAAATCAAATAAATATTACATTGGGCAAATTTGCTGCAAAAGACCTCTTTAAAGTATTAAAAAGCAAAGATGTCACTTTGAGAACTCAAGTGTCCCTGACTCAAGCCAATAACAATGCCACCACCACCAACATATGTATGTGGCAGAGTGCAGTGGCTCTGTAGGATAAGCATTGGACTGTGAACCACAAGGTCAGTGGTTCCAGCCCACCAGCTGCTCTGCAAGAGAAAGATGAGGCTTTCTGATCTCAAAAAGATTTACAGCTTTGGAATCCTTATACAGGGTTGTGAACTGACTCGACCGCACTTAATAACATATACGTATGAAAACTGGACAATGAATAAGGAAGACTGAAGAGCAGTTGATGTAATGTATTTGAATATTATGGTATTAGCAAAGAATTTTGAATATACTGTGGACTGCCAGAAAAATAAGCAAATCTGTCTTGGTCATGGAAGCAAGGGTGTTGGGCATGTTATCAGGAGGGAGTAGACCCTGGAGAAAGGCATCATGCTTGGTAAAGTAGAGGATCAGTGAAAAAGAGTAAGATCCTCAATGAGATTAGTTGACACAGAGGCTGCAACACAGGAATGATTGTGAGGGTGGTGCAGGACCAGACAGTGTTTCGTTAAGTTGTACATTGAATCACTGAGTCACAACTAAATGAATGGTACCACCAACATGTGTCTGTGTATGTGTGTTTCTTGTACTAGGTCATATTGCTTCTTGAATGGATTATGAGTATGAAAAGCACTGGCTTAGGGCAAGCCATGCAGAAACTCCTTTAGCCTCATTTTCCTCATCTAAAGATGAACATAAGGAGCTCTGGTAGTATAGTGGTTATGAATCGGGCTGTGAACTGCAAGGTCAGCAGTTCGAAACTACCAGCTATTCTGCTGGAGAAAGATGAGGCATTCTGCTCCCATAAAGCTTTACAGCCTCGGAAACCCTGTACAGGGTCGCTATGAATCGGAACCAACTCCGTGGCACACAGCCACCAACACCACCAAAGATGAAAATAATAACAATTACCTTCTCTCTTTAGTTCTTGGGATTACGAACAAGACCAAGGTACCCTGATACAATGCCAGGTACTTGTTAAGTGCTGTCGAGTCAGTTCCAACCCATAGCAAACCTGCATAGGATTTCTGAGGAGCAGCTGGTGAGCTTGAACCACTGATCTTGCAGTTCAAACCGACTTTTCAGTCCAGCACATTAAACCACAGCACTACACCAA